TCTGACCGCCATCTGACCGCCGTCTGACCATCTGACCGCCGTCTGACCAGCTGACCGCTGTCTGACCGTCTGACCATCTGGTCACCATCTGACCGCTGTCTGACCGTCTGGTCGCCATCTGACCGCCGTCTGACCGCCATCTGACCGCCGTCTGACCATCTGACCGCCGTCTGACCAGCTGACCATCTGGTCCCCATCTGACCGCCGTCTGACCAGCTGACCGCTGTCTGACCAGCTGACCATCTGGTCACCATCTGACCGTCTGACCGTCTGACCGCCGTCTGACCATCTGACCACCATCTGACCACCATCTGACCGCCGTCTGACCATCTGGTCATCGTCACCCCGTCTAACCGGTGTCATGTTTGTCCCTCTGTTGCTACCTCATGCTCACCCTGCGTTTCCGTGGCGCCGGTTCTTCAAACAGAACCTGGTCCAGCTCCATGTCCAAGCCCTCGTCGGGGGGCGTGGCCGACCCTCTTCCGGCTTCGTCTGCTGGTGAGGAAGGGGCGGGGCTTCTGGGATCAACGCTCCAGTAGCCGCTGCTGCTGCTGTCCGAGAGCTCAATGGCGCCGCCGTCCGTCAAAGGAGCTGAAACAGGAAACAGGAAGGGAGTCAGGAAATATTTTCATTACTTTTGTTTTGTGTTTCTGTTGTTGTTTACCTGCCTTGTCTTTGTGGGCGGAGCCCTGCGGCGGTGGGCTGCAGGACAGGCTGCTCAGCACCATGGCAGCCATTAGCTCGTCCATGTCCACTTCCTGTGGCGCAGCGCGGCTGCAGCAGAGCATCATGGGTGAGAGGATGTTTACTAGCGAAGGACAGACAGAGGGGGCGGAGCCTAACCTTCTGGGGACGTTGATGCAGGTGGAGACGGACCTGCCGCAGGACGTAGATGCGGCCTGGGGGTCGCCTGCGCCGCCACACTGGAAGAACACCTGAGAGAGGAGCCAGGTGTTCAGAGGCCAGCAGGAACTGGCAAAAGCCATTCTGACCTTTCCTCTCTCACCTTTAGGTCGCTGTGACCTCTGACCCTGTTGATGACGCCGGGCCTGGTGGTCTCGGGGCCAACCAGCGCTCCGAACGGCGAGCGTTTTCCCAGACGAGTGTTGGGCATCATGTCTGCAGAGGCAAAGAAAATATCACAAACCATCTTGTTTCTAGTCATTCACAGGAAGCTGCAGCCATATATGGACGACATACGGCACATCCATCTCCTCCAGTCGTGTTTCTACATGTTTGACACCCAGCAGCAGACCGACAGGTCGCCCCGTGGTTAGATAGAGGCAGACTGGATTAGCTAATGTGTGATCCTGTGTGGACGTTATTGTTCACATTTCTCTCCATGTTTCTTTATGAAGATGAACAGAACTAAAATCTGCAAAGTAATAAACTAGAAGTCGGCCTAAATTAAAATTTTATTGGGTTTATTTCAGGGTCTGTAATTAATTAATTGCTTTTAACCAACAAAATCAGTAACATTTTCATTTTAAAAACACTCAGTCGGAGTTGAACATATTCATAGTCAGATCAGATAAAAGTGTTTTTCCAGTTTCTCTGATTGTTCATGGAGCTTTTTAGAAATGTGGACTATGGATGCTGATATTAGCATTAACTGCTACTTGTTAGCATTGAGAGGCTATTTTAGGCTAGCACAGCTTCACTGATAGGCTAACTGCTTTTGGCTCAACTTGAACATGACAGTAGTGTTTTCCAGCATCCAATCAGATCACATAAAAGCAGAAATTAAGAGAACCCGCTTCCACTGCTGCTGTTAGTGATGTGGTTGTGTGTCAGATTTACAGTTGTACCAGCAACACGTGAATACAAAGGTTCCGCCTTGGTATTTTTGTGTGTAAAAAACAAACAAACAAGAAAACTTTGATTAATTGTGTCAAACTTTTTAACAAATTAAAATCTATGTAATTAATCTAAATTAGCAGGCTGAAGTCCTGGCTCTAGTTTAACATCAGCAGCACAGCATTGGTCAGAAGAAGGCCTGTAGGTGGCGCTGTAACCCTGGATCAACGCGCATCGACAGGCTTTGGGATGGAGGTCGGTTTGGAGGCAGGGCTGTGACATCATCATGTTGGGGTTCCCGAACGCTGCTGAGATTCCTGCAGCTTTAAGAGCTTCGCCTGGTGATTAACGCAGAGAGGAACCAGAGCAAACAGCTCCAACTCTGAGTCAACTCCACGATGGCTGAGCACCAGATTGCTGACCTCTGACCTCACAGTGACACTGAAGCTTCACCAACCCTCTGCTTGCTCTGCTGGAGCAGAAGGAACAGGAAGCTTCAGACTTTCAGCTCCTTGCCTCATCAACTTGCCACTGTCTTTCAGGTCGCCATGGTTATGATCATCTGAGTTAACTGACCGACTCAATTCATCGAAACCGTTTTCCCCATAAAATACACCTCCACCAGCAGCTGGTAGCCAATCACAGCCCAACAGCCCTTCACAATAAAAGCCTGACATCAACAACAGGAGTCTGAAGCTTGGAAGCGTTTCCTCTGCAGGCAGAAGTTTCTCTGCTCCAACCGAACAAGAAAACAAGCAGAAAACAGCTGGAAGAAGCAAAGGAAAGCCTCAGAGTTTCTCCAACACGTCTAGCAGCAAGTGCAGCAGCTGCAGCAGCTGCAGCACCTACCTGCAGAGTCTGAAGCTCCAACACAAACAACCAGAGAAGCTGCAGCAGCTCCAGGAATCCTCTGCTGCTCTATGAGACTGACACTGGGAGGACGTGCCTGAGTGTGTGTGTGTGTGTGTGTGTGTGTGTTTGTAGTGACAGGGAGAAACTGGGTTCCACCAAGACCTGGAATGGATCAGACTGGAGGGGAACCAGATTGAGATGACACCATGTGCCACGATGTTAGTTAGTTAGTTAGTTAGTTAGTTCCAGCAGCATCGATGAATGTAGGTTCACACAAAAATTAAATAAATAAATAAATAAATAAATAAAATATACATATATATAAATAAGATTAATAATGATAACTATGTGCTGTACAGATCATAACCTAAAACTCTGTGCTGTTAAATAATTAGTTTAACAGGTTTGTTAGCTAGCTAATTAAATAGCTAATTAATTAGCCAGTTGATAAGTTAGATAGTTACTTAGTTAGAAATGTATTCAGTCAATTAGTTAATTAGATAGATAGATAGATAGATAGATAGATAGATAGATAGATAGATAGATCACGCCATCATCTGTTTCCATGGCAACAACAGCCCATTTTTTTCCCCAAACCTCAGAGCAGAACTCCGGGCCGAATCCTGATCCCTGCTTGTACTCCGCTCCTGGTTTTCCCATCAGCCTCTGGGTCATTTTTCCAACCATGTAGTAAACAAGATAAGCACGTGACACCCAGCTGCATGGTGATTGGTGTAGAGGAGCTGCGCACGAAGCCTCCTGTGTGTCTTTAGAGTCAGAACAAGACTCAAAGTCTGAGCTGGAGCCGAACCAGAACCAGAACCTTCGGGACCGGCAGGAACCTTCCTGACTCAAGATCACAGGCTGCCGGAAACGCTGCTGCGCGGTGCTGTTGGGGGCGGAGCCTCGGCAGCCTGTGTGCGCGTGCTGGTTTGTGCGTGCGCGCCCCTCCCCCACGCACACACACGCAGCGCTCGTGAGCTACGTGCGGAGTGTGAGCAGCTGCCTTAAAGGAGCATTCCGCCTTTTCTCTGCTGTTTCCTGGACCGGGACTGGTTTCGGTCCAATCAGAACCAGCCAGTCTCCCTTTGATCCTCAGATAAAAACAGAAACTCTCAAAACCACGAAGCTCTAAGAGCAACAGCCTAAGATGGATCAGAACTGAGCGGTTCGGTTGAACGTTTCCTTCTGGTCCATTTGGACCAGAAGATTCCCAGTCGAACCTGTAGCTCCTAAACTCTGAGATAATAAAGGTTCGTCCATGTTCGGCTCTGCTCATCAGACCTCATCTAGGCCCAGGTCCAGATTCTGGTCTCTGGTTCTGATCCAATCCTGATCCAATCTGTGTTTGTAATTCTTTATTCACTTTATTCAGACCAGAGGTCTCCAACACGTGGTTCCCGGGCCGCATGTGGTTCTTAATAACTTAGGCCGAAAATGAAGAAGTTTTAACATTTAAAAACAAACTTTTGAAACTTTTCCAGTTTATTCCCACAAAATCTGCATTAGAAAAAACTCTTTCTGATCATTTTATGTTTTAAATCCTAAGAATAGAAGTAAAATGGTGGTTCTGTAGTTTATCTAAAATTATAAACTTTTTTCCCCAAAATGTTTTGCTTGTGGCTTTAAAATTTATTATTATTATTATTATTATTATTATTATTATTATTATTATTATTATTATTGTTGTTGTTGTTGTTGTTGTTGTTGTTGGAGTTCATTCATTTTGTCTCTGTTCTTCTCAAGGTCCGTTTACCAGTTTCAGAACCCGACCAGAACCCCTGAGTGTAAATTACTTTGAGAAATAATGAGATTTTATTATACATAAAAACAGGCTTAATGCCGAAAAATGATCAAATGTTAGAAGCCATACATGTTATCCAAATGGATCAGAACCAGTCCAGCACTGGTCCACTGAGCTCCTGATGGACGGAACCAGGAGAGGCAAAGATCAGAGTTCAGATTTTATTCTCCTTTGCTTGCCGTCACATGTGAACAGACTGAACCTGATTAAACTGAACCTGATTAAACTGAACCTGATTAAACTGAACCTGATTAAACTGAACCCGATTAAACTGAACCTGATTAAACTGAACCTGATTAAACTGAACCTTTAGGGAGGGACCAGATTGCAGTCACACATAGACATGGTTATGTAAGCTGCAGCATGTGCATGTAAGCAGTTAAAAGAGAGGAAAAGACAGAATCCATAACATTTATTTTTATTACTATTGAAGCAGTTTATTGTTTCTGCTCAGGCTGTGAGGTCACAGGTCACGTCAGTCTCTGTGTTTCTGGACTTCCTGTAGTTTATTTTGGCTGCTGCCCTCGGGCCAGGCGGCAGGACGGTTCTGGGTTTGAATCCCTGCCGACGATTTGTTTCTTCACCAGGAGCCTGACTACAGACCGGACCAAAACCAGGACTGAAACCCAGAACCCGGACCTGGAGTCAGACCTGCAGCTGCGGATGGACGTGCTCGCTGCCTCGACTTGCAGCTGACCTCTGGTTGACCTCTGACTCATCAGGAAGTGGCTCACAGGCCAGCGCCGACCCGTTCTGCAGAGCTTGGTTGCATCACTGCGCCTGAAGCTGATCCAGAACCAGAACCAGAACCTGTTGGAAGTAGTGAGAGCTGAGGTTTGGAATTCACTGTTTATATTGTTGTTATTTTATGATTTTATAGATGATTATGGGAAATTGTAATGTATATTTTTGATATTGAACTGTTTCTTAACCTGCAGATCAAACAAATGAGGATTTTTTTATGACGATCATCGTTAGCAGAGAATCGTCGTAAATATGCTGCAGTTATAGATCAGTTTTCACTGATTGTGAACCATTTACAAAAAGATTTTCGTAAAACAATGAAAGCATAAAACATCCAGCCGAGTACGCAGAGCATTCAGGCTTATTAATTTTATTTTCACAATTTTGTTCTCTGTCATCCAAAACAGAGAAAATTCCAATAAAATGCCAGTGCAGCAGGTCAGGAGAAATATCTTTATTGATGAAAGATTAGTAACAAAACTAATCAGATTAATTAAAAAAAACGGAAAAGATGAAATTTAAAAACATTTTCCAGTTTATCTTTAATACAGACTTCCAGGAAAATCAAACATTTAGGAAATAAACTCCTTTATTCTGATGTGTTTGAGTGAAAATAGAGTGAATGTGATGTGTTGCTGTGCAGCGCCCCCTATGGGCCATCCACGGAAATCCGCGCAGTGTTTTCATTCTCTGAAATATGCAAACTCTTTATGATGAATACAAATCCTTGTTTCCGGCGTTCCTGTTTCATCAACATGTTTCTGTTCCTGATTCACTGGGAGGAAAAACGATAATATTTCATCAGAAACTTAATAAAGCTACAAAATAAAAAATTCCTCCTTTAATCTGCTACACAGAATTTACCCTAATAATCAATGCAAGATTAAATAAATCAATAAACCCCCAACTTTAAGTTTAGCATGGAGCTTTCAGAAACAGTCATTTAATCAGAAACTTCAGAGAGAAATTAATAACTTTAACATTTGTGATGTTGATTCTAAATCGTTACTAATGTTTGAGAATATTATTTTTGGTTTTCATGGAAAAAATATGAAGACAGGAAGAAGACTTTCAAATAATTATCATATTTCTCATATTTCGTATTTCATCACCTTCACCTTTTTTCAGTTTTAGGGAACTAGAACTATATTTATCCAATAAGACAAAAACAAAACACTGAACACGTCTTCCTGTTTTGTACCACTGTCTTTAAAAATCTTAAACTTTATTTCAGTTCCTGTTCCTGCAGCGCCCCCTTCTGGATGGACATGCAGAAATCAGCTGATCAGAACCGGTTTGGGTCGGAACACAACGGACCAATCAGCTGATCGGTAACGGACCAATCAGAAGCCTCAGAAGTTTCATGAAGGATGGTTTCCAAAGGTCAGCGTTTCCATGGAAACAGACGGTTTAAAATCCTCGGCAGTCTGCTGAGGCGTCATCATCATCATTTTCTTCCTCTCTGCACCTCGCTGCCACAGCGCCCCCTGGTGTTGGGGTTATTCTGCTCCGACCTCCCGCCATGTTTCCCGGTCAGGCGGCGGAGGGGAGCGCTGCTCCTCAGGCCCCGCCCCCTCAGGTGTGGGAACAGGTGAGTTGGCCAAGCGGAGCTTCTTGCTGACTCGAGCGTAAACCGAGTTCCTGTCGTCGGACTGAATGACGTAATGAAGCTGCGTTGACAGCCGATTGGCTGACGGTCCCAGCGCCTCACCGCTGTTGTCCCGCCCATCTCTGACGTGGTCGGAGGTTTGAGGAGCGGAGCCATTCAGGTCTAAGGGTAAAAAAAAACACTGACGTCATTAAAAAACCGAGTCTATCCTTTATTCCACCCTGTCAGGCTCTCAGCCCCACCTCTGCTCTCTGGCGCCACCAGGTGGCTCCTCCAGAGAGGGACACGGGCTGAGGTTCCCTCTGAGGGGTTTGGATCTGAAAACAGGCATCATGGGAAATGTAGTCACGTGTTTTAAACGGTTTTGTCTTGTGATGAATCTAACAGATGATGAAGCAGCGGCAGGTGTGAAACGAGCCAAATCTAAACATGAATAATGTTCTCTAGATATGTAACAGATCTCCTTCAGTGGGACCTGGACGCACGAAGCAGCGATACCACAAACCATTCCTCCCAGCAAACTCAACAGGTTTTATCTGCAGTTTTTTCACTGTTTATTGTTGTTTTTATGCACATATATATCCATACACATGCTGCACATTTTACTTTTCTAAATTATCCCACAATATGAGGACAGCATCCTAAATGCTGTAGTATTATTTTAATTTCTCATGTTGTTAAATCGGCCTGAGTGCAGAGAACCATTAGTAAAGTTACAATCAAAAATTTAATTGAGTTATTTAGCAAAAACAACAACAAAAAACCCCAATCAGGATTCATTATTCAGTCGTATTTTCACATTTATTCACTTACAAATGTCACAGTTTCAAACCAAGTATTTAGTTAGTTTACTCTAGCTAAGCTAAACCTTCAGCTTCCAACCTTAATATTTACTGCTGTTCATTTTTGACCGTAACTCTACAAACTGGATCCTTCAGCCTTTTATTACTATTGTTTTTATTTTTCTACCTTTGTGTGAATCTGCTGGTCGTTTCCAAATGTGTGGAAGAACAAATATGTCTTTATTACATTTTCCTGTTGTAGTTTCTCCTACAGAGTGCAGCGTCCCTGCCAGCATGCCTGGGTGGGCCCCATATGGGGAAAAGGAGAGCAGACATATGGGTCCCATATGGATTTGTCCGCGGGTTCATGGTGGCCCCACATGGGTTTACCCATTTAGGGCCCATTTAGGGCCCACGTAGGCTGTGGCCCCACATGGGCCGTGGAACCCGCGGACAAACCCATATGGGACCCATATGTCTGTTCTCCTTTTCCCCATATGGGGCCCACCTAGGCATGCTGGCTGGTTTTCAGCACATCTCTAATCTGAGCCGTTGTTCTTTAACGGACATAAATACGGATGTTTAATGCAGGTGAAGTCAAACTGATTCCATCTTCTGCAAGTAAATATTTCTAGAACCAATAAATGGATCAAACTGAGTTTGATCCATTTATTGGTTCTGCTGCTCGGCTCTCTGGGGAATCTGACATCATTTGACATGCAAATACTTAGTCTGTCCATGAATTTAAATGAGCAAATATATCAGAAGGTTATACTGAGAGCTGCAGTGGGAGTCGGATATTTTAATGAATTATTTTTGAAAACATGTTCTGGTTCTGGTTTCTCTTCCTGCTGAGCCTGTTTGACGCCCAGAACCAGCCTGACCTGGGCGGCTCTGCAGCTCCCTCTGTTGGCCCTCGGAAGAACTGACCGGCTCCGCTGGATCTCCTCCAGGACGAAACTCTGCGACAGAAAAAGGTCCAAACTGAACAGGACTGGATTCCCCGGGTTCTGCAGAACCTTCTCCGGATCAGACGGCTCACCTCTCTCGTCCTTCTGGATCTCTCCAATCATCGGGTTCTCCTTCACTTCCTCCAGCTTCACCTGCAGACCGGGTCACATATCGGTTAGTCGGTTCTGGCTGGAGTTCTGCAGCCGATCGGCGGTTCTGCTGATCTTACCACTCGGATGAGAGCTGACGGCGGTTTCTCTGTCTTTGAATCCTGGAGCTCAAACGAGTTTCTGAAACCCAAACAGATTATCACCTCTGCTCCAGATCTGACCGCCATGGATGGACATATTCTGGTTCTGGTGCCAGATTTCAGGTAAAGGTTCTGATCCATTATGGCGGGCCGTTTGTAAAGTTATACTGTCACAAATTAACAGCAATAATTTGGGTAATTTAGCCTGTCATAAGAGGAAAAATGGAGGTAAATTTATTATTTTCACCATGTTGTTCATTCATTTATAAATGCCATAATTCTAAACCCATCACATCACCGCTGACCTGTCTGATGACAGACGTTTACAGGCAGCGTTGTACTCCAGGTGTACAAG